AGAGCTTAGCTATTTCCTTGGTCTTCAAATCAAGCAAATGAAGAATGACACATTTGTGAGTCAAGGCAAGTATATCAAGGACATGCTTAAAAAGTTTGAAATGGATGATAGTAAAGCTATTAGTACACCAATGGGACAAGTGGAAGCTTGGATAGTGATGCTAGTGGCAATATGGTGGATCAAAAGATGTATCGGTCTATGATTGAAAGCCTACTTTATGTGACCGTATCAAGGCCGGATGTGATGTTTAGTGTATGCATGTGTGCTAGATTCCAAGCCTCACCAAAAGAAAGTCATTCGAAAGCAACAAAGAGAATATTTAGGTACTTGAAGCATACACAAAATGTTGGATTGTGGTATCCTAAAGGAGCAAGATTTGAGTTGATTGGATATTCGGACTCCGATTATGCGGGATGCAAAGTTGAGAGAAAGAGCACATCGGACACATGTCAACTATTGGGAAGATCGCTTATGTCTTGATCATCGAAGAAGCAAAATAGTGTAGCACTTTCAACCGCCGAAGCAGAGTACATTTTGGCTGGTAGTTGTTGTGCTCAATTACTTTAGATGAAGGCTACTTTGAGTGACTTTGGAATTAAATTCAAGCAAGTGCCATTGCTATGTGACTATGAGAGTGCCGTAAAGCTCACCAACAACCCGGTTCAACATTCAAAAACAAAGTATATTGATGTCTGCCATCATTTCATAAGAGATCACCAACAAAAAGGGGACATTTGCATTGAGAGTGTGGGCACCGAAGATCGACTAGACGCTGGGTCACTTAATGACCGGACGCTGACAGGGTGTGTCCGGTCTAGCTAACGTGGCAGCGCACAGGGGAGTTGCCGTGTGATCGGACGCTGGGTGTGTCCGGTCGAGCATGATCGGACATGTCCGGTCGAGCATGACCGGACATGTCCGGTCGTGAAAAGTTGTCTCTGGATGCTTACTGGAAATGACCGGACACTGGGGTTCAGCGTCTGGTCACTTTGAGCTACTGCGTCCGGTCGTCACTTGACCATTGAGATCGGGCGATCAACATTTGAAGAGAAGGGACACATGGCATGCATCATGTGACCGGAGCGTCCGGTCACCCCGCGTTGTGCCCAGTGAAGGGGTACAACAGCTCTATTTCATGGGGGCTTCTATTTAAGCCCCATGGCCGGCTTAAGCTCACTCTCTTGGCCATTTGCATTGACATAGCAACCTTGTGAGCTTAGCCAAAGCCCTCTCACTCATCTCCATCATTGATTCATCATCTTTGTGAGATTGGGAGAGAATCCAAGTGCATTGCTTGAGTGTTTGCATCTAGAAGCACTTGGTGTTCGTGTTTCGCTGCGGGATTTGCTTGTTACTCTTGGTGGTTGCCGCCACCTAGATGGTTTGGAGCAGCGAGGATCGTCGAGCGGAGGTTGGTGATTGTCTCCGACTCTCATCGTGGTGATTGTGAGGGGTTCTTGATCTTTTTCCGGCGGAGAGCCAAAAGGTACTCTAGTGGATTGCTCATGGCTTATGTGATCCTCATCTTGTGTTGGTTGTGCAGCACCCTATTGAGGGTTTGGCGTGTGATGCCAATTAGCTTGTGAACCTCCAAGTGAGTGTATCGCTACAACGAGGAGTAGCTTGTCGGCAAGCAAGTGAACCTCGGTAAAAAATTATTGTGTTCATCATTTGATTCCGAGGTGTTTGGCCTTCATTGATATTGATTCTTGTGATTGATTGGTTCACTCCTCTACACGGCGGTATAACTATCTTGCTCTCTCTCTCTCTCTTTACAATACCGTAAACTAGTTGTCAAGCTCTTTAGTGTAGCTAGTTGTAAGAGCTTGTTAGTTTAGTTTGTGTGGCTCTTTAGTTAGCTTTTGAGGGCGCACTAACTTAGTGTAGTGACATAGCTATTGTGTGGATATAAATCATATAAACTAGAATTATGGTAGGGGGCTTGCATTTTTAGTAGGCTAGCGCAACACTTGCTTTGCCTTATAATTGTCTAACTGGTTTGTTAAGTGTTGTTGTAGAAATTTTTATTAGGCTATTCACCCCCCTCTAGCCATTAGGACCTTTCACCAGGTAAAGTGTGGGAGGGCTTCATCGTCCTCGATGATCCTTCGATTCACGTCGCGGGCCGTGGCGCGCGCGCCCACCATCTTCATGGCGCTCAATCTCTCGCTCAAGCTCCACACGTTCCTGCTCGAGCTGGAGTCATGCTTCCTCGAGCTCTTGGTGCCACGCCCTCAGCTGCTCTACCCGCAGGCGAGGTGGGGCCCCTGCATCCCCCTCGACCTCGTCGTTGAGGTCATCTGTTGTGGTAGCTCCTCCCTCATGGATGCTTTCAATGTATCCCTCGGGGGTACCTGCCATGAAATATTCTTGCGAGGGGTGATGGCATCAACTGCTGGAGTCAGAGTCGGAGGGTGACTCTGATTCTCCCGCGATAAGGTCGCAGAAAGATTCCGCGACGTATTCGGTCATCCCCACGAACTCATCGTTCGTAGGGGATGGGGGCGTGCGTTGCGCCACAAGGTGGCCAACGGTCTCTACGGCGTTGTGCAGACCGAACAGGAGCGTTGTCGGGGTGCTCCGGATTAGGTATTCTGGGGAGAGCGGCTCTCCTCCGGCAAGCTGCGTCATGACGTTGGCGAACGAGAAGGTGAGGTGGCGCAGGTCCTCCCGGGACGGTCGGGGTCCTAGGAAGGCGCCGAGCTGGAGCTCTAGCCTCCCGTAATCGAAGCCGAAGAGCTGGTCACTCCTGGGGACGCGGGCCTCCGGTGCGTGTAGCTGCAGCTCCTCAAGCGCCTCGGTGATCGCATCGAGGCTGGTGAAGTGGAGATGTTGGACGGCGGCGGGAGCCTGCGCTAACTCTCCCTCCGTCGTAACGATGAAGTCCAGGTTCCCGAAGCGCACGTGCGTGTCCGAGACCTAGCTAACGCCGTGACTAGCCTTCTGAGGCCTGATATGGACGTCGAGACGCGCAAAAAGCCCCTACTTGACGTGCCAACTGTTGGTATTTTTGGACCACCGATGAGTAAATTTGTATTTGCGCGTCTGGCTCGGATGGTGTGCTCAGAGAACATAAGGGTTTATACCGATTTGGGCGGAACGTCCCTACATCCAGTTCGTTGCTGCTCGTGTTACCGGCACTTGGTTTGTAGTAGGGGTTACAAACAGGCGAGAGAGGGAGAGGATCCCAAGTCTCTGGTGGAAGGAGTAAACGGGTGCTGAGAGCTCGATTGCCGCTCAGCAGCGTGTGCTCGTGTCATGTACTTTGTGTTCCGATGTCGTGTTTTTTCTCCCCCAGGTAGGGGCGCCCTGCTTCCCCTTTTATAGGCGAAGGGAAAAAGCGGGTTACAGAGGAGGAAAAGTAGAAGAACAAGAGAGAGAAAAAGGCCTCCAGGATCGCCGGGTCCTTCTTCTTCTTCATGCGGGTCCTGCTGATCCTGTAGATGTCAACAGGGGCGACTCCATGTCGTGGCCCTGTTTGTCACTTGCGCCATGCGCAGGCGTCATCTGCCTGCCATGGCATTCCACTTCGTCCTGGCAGATGTCGTGGTGAACTGACGCGCCTGTCAGTATCCGTACGAGGATTAGGCAGAACAGTACCGGCACGTCCGACACTGTTCTTGATGTGAATCGCCAGGTATGGCCCGTCATGGCCACGGGTTACATCAAGACATGCTAGCCTCTTTCCTGGTGTCAGAGTTTTGACCTAGGGCCATATGCTTGGACCTAGAGTGGTTGGCGGCGGTATGGGTTCCCGTCGGACGAGACGGAGCCCGCCGCCTTGGGGTCAGGCGAGACGGAGCCCGCGACCTTGGGCGAGACGGAGCTCGCGTCCTTGGGGTCGAACGAGACGGCGCCCGCGCCCAAGGGGTCGGGCGAGACGGAGCCCGCGAGCTTGGGCGAGATGTAGCCCGCGTCCTTGAAGTCGGACGAGATCTTTTAATACGTCTCGAGTCATCCGGTGGAGTCAGCGTGAACGCTAACTTTTTTACTTTGGGTATCCCTAATAACGATACCCGGAGAAACTATTCTCTATTTCACCCGATGTGGTAGTTTTTCAAGCATTGAACCCAAGTTTGGGACACCTGGCTCGATGATTTCAGCCAAGTATGTCGTGCAGCAACTACCTACAAATGATTTTGTAAAAAGGGGAATAACTTTATTTCTGTGCTAGACTCAGTAATAAGGGTGAAAGAAAATACTACTACTGTTTGAGTGGGGTCCTTTATTCCTATGTACCTTTTATCAGGTGTCAAACAATGAAGGAAAATGAATTAGATCTCACAAGGCGGTATTTGTTATTTCTATCCCTTTAGCATAAATAAAGATCACATCCTAATTAATCATAATAAGAATACCGGATATAGTGGTACAATATAGGATTGATCAATACTCCAAATTATCTGTACTTGATTATCCTTTGTCTAACTGCTTTTATGTTTTTAAATATCACAGGGCCTTTATTTGGATTGGATGGTATAGGAAAAAAATAGGGTAAGAAAATGTGACGGCAGAAAGCATACAAAACTTTGATATATTATGTCATCTGTCGTGTCACGTGCTGCGGTGCCGTGCCGTGCGCTTGCCGACGTGGAACTAACCGTGGCATAGCTCTTTTTCGCGTCTCAGGAACGTGGGCACGCAAGAACTCACGAGGAGGGCTCCCCCGGGCGGCCGGGCCCCCAGCCTAGGCCCTTTTCCCGTGGGTCTCAAAGGGCCTCCGACTTCTCTCCTTCCCCACGCGTGCGGCGTGCCCAGCTCGAGCCTGCCCGCCCCGCCTCCCGTTCTCTCCAGCGCCGCTGCCTCCTCTGCGCGCCCGAAGGAGCACCGCCACAGCCGATCCGCTCTCCCCCGCGCCTCATCCGGCCGTTTCTGGCGGCTCTTGGGCCTCCCTCGCCATCCCTGACGGCCCCGAGCTCGCCCTCCATCTCCGCCCAAGCTCGCGCCGTCTCGACGCCTCGAGCTCGTCGTCCTCGCTTCCGTGGTCACTGCTGGGAAGCATGAGGAGGAGGCCTGGGATCGCTGGCTTGCAGAATGCGGCGGCTACTCGCGTATGTGCAGTTCTTATGCTTGTTTTAAGTAAGAGATCTGTGCTCTTTTTTTCCCCTGGTTGGAAGATGAGATGAGAGATTTGCTGGGAACTTTCAGGACCAATTCCGGCTGGTCGGGGAGAATGTGGCCAAGGTGAGGACTGATGTCATGAAGGAGCAGCTTGCGACGTTCCGGTCACAGCTCGAGGAATTTGCTCGCAAGCATAAGGTGATCCACTCTCCTGTATTTAGTTGAAATGTCGAAGGAGAAAGAAAGCCTCAACAACAACAACAACGTAGCCTTTCAGTCCCAAGCAAGTTGGGGTAGGCTAAAAGGAGAAAGAAAGCCTAATCACACTTAATTGTTATAATATGCCCAAAATTGCAAATTGTCGGTTGGCTTCTTGGATGATGATATATGGATTGGATTACCTGTTTTTTATGTAATTATAAGTGTAAGATCAACGCTAAACTTCATGGCCTGCCTGGGATTGAGAGAGTTCACGTGGTTTGTAAATTCTCTATTTTAAACTCATCTGCTAAATGAATGAGCAGCTCTCCTGCCAATATCCCTTCATAAAACATATTATCTATGCTTTTATTATGTATTATCTGCTGAATTCTTACCTAAAAATGAAATGGTTGTTCTTAGAAATATGTAGATGCTGCAGTTACTGCTATTTTATTAAACATGGCCCTCTTAGATCCAATACCAATCAAGGGTTAACAGAAACATAAGTGAATAATGGAGCAATCAAATATGATAACCCATAGATTTTAAGTGAGAATTCACTAATAAGTCATGGAGCAACTTATAGATAATGTCAGTTCAGTCAGCAATCCCCATTCTCACAAAAGAAATCAATGGAAAGAAAAACCTGAAGTAGTATTTTCCTCTTACATGGCCTTATTAAGTCACCTCAAAATTCAAATGGCAAAGTGCACTCTGATTCTCTCTGGTAATGTTACATGTTCATATTGTGCTATTGCAGAGCGACATCCGTAAAAACCCAGTATTTAGACAGCAGTTCCATGAGATGTGCGCAAAAGTTGGAGTAGATCCACTGGCATCTAATAAAGGAGTCTGGGCAGAACTTCTAGGGATTGGTGACTTCTACTATGAACTTGGTTGGCATACTCACTTTAAGCTTTCTTGAGCGTTCTTCTGGTCATGGAAGTAAAATCTGGTATGCTTACCATTGATGCCTATTGTGGCAGGAGTTCAGATAGTTGATATATGCATTGCAACCAGATCGCATAATGGTGGCCTGATTGATTTATTGGATCTCCGCAAACTGCTTGGTCAGAAGAGAAAAGCTACCCTTGAATCATTATCTGAAGATGACTGTTTACGTGCTATAAGCAAGCTAAAAGTAAGACTATGAAGCTTCAATGATCCATTTATGATTTATCTTGGAACTTTGGAATTGCATGTAGATTGTTTCTATGAGTTTGTACTTTAATTAACAGATGTTAGTTCAGTACAAACGAATTTGATATACTCAGTAAGATATGTACCTCACCTAATCCTTTGTGGATTCACAGGTCCTTGGCAGTGGTTTTGAAGTAATTTCTGTTGGGAGGAGGAAGCTTGTGCGTTCAGTTCCTACCGAATTAAATAAAGACCACAGTGGGATACTTGGGCTAGCTCAGGTTTGTGCTTGTAATATTTGATGTCAGTACATTATAAAAGCAATGCCAATTATCATGTTGGCAAACAAAGGCCCATTTGTAGCAGCTGTATATATTAGTATACAAGAGTAGGTTTGAAGCTTTAAGTTTCTTATTAGGTTCCTCTCTGCTTATAACATCATTGGCATGTAGGCTGAGGGCTATGTCACGGTAGAACAAGTCGAAAGAGAATTCTCATGGTCTACTGGGCGTGCAATTGATGCCCTTGAAACTTTGCTGAAGGTAATACTGCTTCCTGAGTTTCCTTATGACAACAGCATCCTGTATGGATCTTTTCTGTGCTAAAAGAAAACGATATCAGTTATTGTTAATACATGTTTCGTGGCGATGAATCCACCCATAGTTGATCTTTGCAATTTGTTGGAGTCATCATCCATGTAGATACATAATGCATCACATGCCTGTGGACATGGGCTTGTGTTCACATTTGAAGCAAGCATAAAATTCCTTGTTGGAGTACATGACAATATGAAAATGATCTGATTTCAACGTGCGGAAGTGTAACAACTCTTCCTGATTGAGCAGGAGGGGCTTGCTATGATCGACGATGGCCATAGGGACGGCAAGCGAAGATATTGGTTCCCATGCGTCACTGTCACCTCCGACACAGTAGCTGTTGAAAAGTGAAGAATGACATTTTTCCTTTTTTTGTTTGCCTCTGGCACTTGCAATATCGTGTGTAAATGTTTGGTATGTCCAATACACCTGTGTGTATGAATTCAGCTGTAACATCACACTTTGAATATGAAAGGTTACATGATTCTTATTCAGAATTCAGGTTTCTTTTTTATACAATATTTAGAGTTCAAATAATTCTGGCCTTCTGGAGTTTGTAGGCTGGCAGAATGTTTGTGGCTTCTATTTCTTGGAGGATGCCCAATATTAGTAACATGCTAAAATTCTTGCAGTGAGATAAAAGGACATTAGTGGCACCCAAAATAGTAAGTGCAAGGTCAGGCCCATAGGCCAATACTAGCCTGTGGAGGCAGACAGGCCGTTCTAGTGCTGTCGACCCATGGGCCGTCGATTGCCCGCGGTTCGTTGACTAGTCTTCAGTCTTCACGGAAAAAGACCACGGTTTTTTTTTCTCAAACGAACTGCGGAAACGGGAAAAAAGGGGAAAGACCAAAACAGGCGATAGAAATGGCGACGGAGAAGCGCCGGTGGCGGCACTCACCGTCGGTCGCCACGCCCAACGCCTCGCCGACGTCCTCCTCAAATCCAGAAGCCGCTATATTGCACTCGCCTTCCCCTCCGCTGGACCTCATCCCCGACATCACCTCCCGCCTGACCTCCCTCGAGGACTTCTTCGCCCTGCACGCCTCCTGCCGCGCCTACCGCGCTGTCCTCCCGCCGTCCCGCGGGGCCCTCGCCTGCTAGTCCCCGCTCCTCCTCGGCGCCCTTTTCCCCTCCTTCTCCGAGGCGTTATTCCACCTCTCGCTCCGCCGCCTCCACCGCTACCGCCTCCCCTGGGGCCATCACCTGCCCCCCTCCCGCCGCACCCTCCACTACGCGCACGGGTACCTCGTCACCGCCACCACCGCGTCCTCCCACTACCTCCCGAGGCTCCTGCTCCACCTCTTCTCCGGCGAGCAGCTCCGCCTCCCCAAGGTCCCCGCGCCGTTCACCCGCGTCATCATCTCCGACAACCTGGCCGCCGTCCTCTTCCTGCCCGGCAGGCCCAACGTCCAGCACTGCCACCCTGGGGACGCGCTCTGGCGCGTGGCCACCGCGGACGCGCCCCACGTTGTTGACGATATGCTCTTCGTCGATGGCACCCTCTACGCCCTGGTAAATGGCCTCCGTCTTGCCACAGTCGAACTGTCTGATAGTTTGCTGGAACTGTCGTTTCTAGGAGAGGAGGTGGATGACGACAGCAAGCCGGCGGGAGGACAGTTCACGCTCGGAGAGTGCGGGGGTGATGTGTTGCTCATCAGTCAGGATCACACGGAGATGATGTTGTACCATGTTTATCGGTGGGTGTTTGAGGTTGGGAAGTGGGTTTCAATCACGAGCTTAGGCGGGCGGACACTGTTTCTTGGTTTCTTCGGATTTGCAGCCTGTATTGGTCCAGATTACCCAGGAATCCGAGGGGCTTGCTTATATGCAGCTGGGCCGCGCTTGGGTGAATGGCATGAGTACTCCTTGGCTGATGGAACTTGCGATGTTCGCTATGCTGATTATCCAGGTGCACCACCCCTGAACAACAATTCACCTATCAGACCTCCAGTCTGGGTCTTCCCCAGCCTGTGTTGATGCTGGTTGTGAATTCTTTCCAATCATGTAGAACATCTGAGTCTGACTTGAAATAAGTCATGGTATGCTTGATTTCTGAGGCTGCTGTTTCTTAATTTCGTTTCTGTAAAAAATATGTTGTTCAGCAATGAGTATTGAAACACAGTATATTACTAGTTATTTTTTATGTTGATTGGGGTATAGAATACACTTGTTAAGTGTTGCTATAAGAATAGATAATGCCCATCCTGCCCGTAAGGGGTTATGGATGGTTTGTCTATGCGCTATGCTCCTTTCTAGACCTTGGTTGATCTAATTTTGCTTCTTTCTTGGTATATGAATATTACTATGACATCGCAACAATAATGAGGACATCTATGTGTATGGAATTACAAATTTAGTTTATCTCTGGTGAGCTTGTCTTCAACCAACAAGCTATTCATAAAGTTGCTCATTGGTATCGATGTATCATGGTGTGTGAAACCAACTTCAAACTACTAAGGTCTTATTGTGATATTGTCTTAACATGTTGGATCTCTTTTCATAAGTTCAGTACTTCAGTCACATTGTTAATTCATCTTATTATAGCACCTGCTTTTGTTAGAAGTAGATAGTTCAGGAGGTGGAGAGAAATGATTATTAGTTAGTTCAGGAGGTTACTTAGTTCAGGAGATATATTTTTCCCTCTCTCGAATAAAATTAGTTCAGGGGAAGTTGTCAGGATATCCATATAACAAAAAACCTTAGAGGTTACCACCACTCTTCTACCGTAACAATTTACTTACAACGAGGCGTGTTTGAGAAAAAAATTACTTACAACGACACGATAGTAGAACCAAATCTGAGGAATAGCTGAAGATTTAACTCAACACCTGATATTCTTGAGGATGTTTACATTACGTAAGCCTATTTGCTGAATGATCTATGTGGATACACTTACTTCTTTTCCCACCTAGGCTTTACACCCTTGATTGTTATGTAGTCCTGGCTAAACAATGTGACTGGCTGACTGCTATGCTCAACTCAGCGAAGGACACAGTTTATCTATAGATCAAAGAGCATGCGCCCTTGAAGAAATATGAAAATACTAGTTACACGTTTTAAATAACCTGGAAGGCCAGACTGCCCGAGTAAATGGTTACACCAATTGTCTGATGGTTTGTGGTTAAAAATCTCTGCCATGTTTTCCACAGAAGAATTCTGTACCCTCCATTTCTGGAGATTTTGAGAATCTGGAATTTTGCATCTTGTAGTTGATAATGAAAGAAAGCAGTATCATCTTACAAGAGATTGGTTAGGATTACTTGTCATTCTCATATTAGATGGCTCCCTGTTGATTTCTTGTCATGACAATACTTCAGCCGAACAATACTGCAGTAGGAGATCCTGCAAGTTACTGCAGTCATTCAGATGTACTCTCTCCGTCTCAAAGTAAGTGCACATCTCGCTTCTTAAGGAGTCAAACATGTAATCCGACCGGAGAGTAAAAATTTTGTGCTTATTATGTCTGACCTGCGCACATGTGCATGGTATTTTCTGGTCACTGGTCTGTGTTGCCTTTATAGGAGTACTGAGAATTCAGAAACTGGAATTCAATGCACTTATGCTCTGTTCCCCTGGCATGTAACATTGGTTTTGCGAATTCAGTTACTTGTCATCCTTGATCAATTTATGCATTTTTGAGTCTCCTCAAGTCCTGATATTAATGCAAATTAGGTAAACTTCGGATGCAAATCTTCTTAACTTGTTATAGCAATATACATCTCATAAACCCAACCCTAGCTTGCACCATCGATTTCCAGGCATTTTGTTCTCAACCCAAACCTAACTCTGCTCCTTCCCCCCTTCCCCAACATGACACACTATGATGGCGGTGACACGCATCTAGATCACATATTCGTGCTTGAGCTTGCACGCTGCACCGCATTTGAGAGGCCGAGATCCTGACTGGTTGATATATGTATGCATTAATATATAAACTATGGTGGTTGACTGTTGATGAAATATGATTTCTCATTTATGTTATTTTGTATTGCACTATGCAGTGACTATATGACAGTTGTGAATATGTACTACACTACTTGTTAGAAGTGCTCTACACATACCTAAGCTGCCAGAAGATTCATTAATCATACTCAAAAAGAAGATTCGTCGATCCCCGAGCCAAAATCTGAGGCCGACCAAACCAAAGAAAGCTAGGGTGGTCTGTGCCGTGATTGACCTCACTGAACGTGTGACCGGCCGGCCGGCCGACCAAAAGTAATCGAGCTCTGTCTTTACGACACCGGTGATTATATGTATTCTTAATCGTACAGCGCGAGTGCAGTTTGGTTGGTCTTCAATCCTCTTCTCATGGATAGACTTCGCTTCACTCTAATTTGGTTTCGTCTCATCCTGATGTTTTGTCTGCATATATGCATCACTCGTGAATCAAGACGACTATACACTAGTAATATATATAGCTAGCTCGTGTTCACACATATCTGCGATGAAAATGCTTCTTTCAAAGAAAATAATCTCCATGATCGATACTCTATATCGACGGATTTGTTTTATTTGCTCCATGCCGGTTCCGATGGATAAATCAGAGTCTGGGAAGTACAAGCAGAAAGAGAACAAGGGCAGATGCCGCGTGAACATCCGTGAAATTCACTTGCAAGCAAGACGCTTGCACCTCGCATTAATATTGCTGCGACGTACCAATAAAATATTGTCGCAGCGTATATATATACCAATCAAAGTCATGAACATGACTACACTGTCCACCCCTGATGAGGCCGGAACTAAACCTATCCTTACGCGACAATAGCAACTCAAAACCACTTGGATGTTCACGCATGGCCTGCACTGCAAAAGTGGCCATCACGGTCGTCGCAGCACGGGTGTGTATCCCTCGCCGTCACCGACAGTCGGTCAGTCGATCTGCATCTGCTCAGCTCACGCCTCACAGGTCACAGCAGGAGAGACACGGGTGTAGTATATGACATTGTCACCGACGGTCGGTCGGTCCATTTGATTAGCTTAGGAACAAACGCCTTGTTTAGTTGGACCCCAAAGTTTAAAAAGTTGCTACAGTACCTGTCACATCGAATGCTTACGGCCCGTGCATGGAGCATTAAATGTAGACGAAAATAAAAACTAATTACACAGTTTGGTGAGAAATTGCGAGACGAACGTTTTGAGCCTAATTAGTCCATGTTTGAATACTATTTGCCAAATAAAAACGAACGTGCTACAGTAGCCCCAAAATCCAAATTCACCCAACTAAACAAGGGCAAAGTTGTGTTTGTGCATCCTGATCCATCTCGAATGGATATGCGATAAAGACTCATTAACTTGATTTACTTTGTGGAATCACAGAGGTGTCAGAAAAGCGGTGCTATGCGTAGTTACCTAGAACCTTGGCTTTTTCACGCCAAGGGTGGTTTAGAACTTGATCTATGTATGAAAGTGAGACAAATTAGAGACAGATGAAGATGAATCATGGTCATGGAAATGGAACTCATGGATGCATTAATGTTAAATTCTTTGTTGTGATTTTGGAAACATTTCTTTAGAGTAACTAGGCGCGATTTGTGAGGATTTGTGAGATCATATGGAGTACCATTGCGCAATATAGTTGGCGCAATGCCTATTTTGAGTTCCAACGCCCATTGCTACAACTAAACTAGTGAACTGCTAATGAGTGTGTACCTTATGAGAAACTGTTGTTCATGTGGTAGCATTTTTTTTCTCGAACACGCAGGAGAGCTGCGTATCATTATTATTAAGAAGAAAAAAAATGGGATAAGAACCCATACAAGGCACACCCACTCACACCACTATGTCCAAAATAAACAGACTAGCCGTTGACATACAAAGAAGGCGACCTCGACCAAAAAATTAACTCTCATTCAGCCCTTGGGCAATGAGGTTATTGATACCTCGTGCCCCTGGCAAGGTCCAATAGAGAAGTTCCTCACCAGCGAGCGACAGAGCTCTGGCTAGGTTTGGAGATTCAGCATCAAACACACATCGATTATGAATATTCCACAAAGTCCATGCTCCCAAAATAATGATGGAGTTGAGGCCCTTTCTTAAGGTAGCAGCCACTGCATTTGAACTTCTGCCCCACCAATCATCAAAGGAGGTCTCATCAGACTGGGAGGGGTAATCACTTGTAAGCCCACTCTTCGCAGGAGGATGAACCAGAATTCACGAGCAAAGATGCAGGTTGATAGCAGGTGATTGATGTCTTCTTCGTCTTGATTGCAAAGTGGGCCACAGCCTGGGTGTGGGAGGCCTCTTCTTGCAAGACGGTCGGCTGTCCAGCATCTATCTCGAACAACTAACCACATGAAAAATCGACATTTATCTGGTGCCCAAGATTTCCAAATCCGCTTGTAGAGATTGAAAACCACCATTCCCCGCTTTCGTAAGCAGATTTTGCTGAATATTGCCCATCACTTGAGAATCTCCACACATGGGAGTCTTCTACTTCTGGCTGCAGCACAACCTTAGAGATGAGGTCCCAAAGCGCTAGATAATCTGAAAAGAAGGCAGCCGACATGGCACCCTGTATGTCACGAACCCATGAATGATCTGTAAGAGCCTCTAAAACAGTTCTCATCTTTCTTTTCTGCTGGGAAAGCCAAGACATGAGAAGCCAGATCAGCAATACTTTGGCCATCAATCCATCTGTCTGTTGAGAACAAAGTCGCTGCACCATTGCCCACTACTGAGATGACAGCAACAGAGAAGAAAGCTTGGACACAATTGTGGACTGGGATGTGAAACATATGCCAAGGACGGTTAGGGTCTGTTTTTTTCAACCATAGCCATCTCATGCGAAGAGCCCAACTAAGATTTTGGAGATTAGAAATTCCCAGACCACCAAGCTCTTTGGGGAGGCACACTTTAGGCCACGCCACCAGACAATGACCACCTTTGGTCATGATGCTATGAAAACATTGGAGGGTAGAAATGCTGGTCTTATGTCTGTCAATCTGTCATAGTATCTCTAAGCACATGCAGTGATTCCA